ACCGGAAAAACATTAAAAAAAAACTGACTTCTCCCTGTGCTGCGCCAGGAAGTTTTTCTCGCCGGAGTCGATCCTTCAAATCTACAAATCAACCATTCGCCCTTGCATGGAGTATTGCTGCCATATATGGTCTAGTGCCCCTTCTGTTTGTCTCAAGGTCCTTGATAAAATCCAGAGACGGATATGCAATGTAAATGGCCCTGGTCTGGCATCTCATCTGCAGTCTATCTCTCATAAACATTCCGTTGCCTCCCTCTGTCTTTTTTACAAATATTTTCACCGTAACTGATCCGATGAGCTGCTTTCGGTGGTTCCCAGACTTCATGAATTTAAGCGTTCTACTTGGCTGGCATCTCGCTCTCACCCTTTCACTATCAAAACTATTAAATATAGCCGTCTCTCCTACTCCAATAGCTTCATGTCTCGCACTTCTCGCCTGTGGAACTCCCTCCCTTCTTCCTGTTTCCCTGATAGCTATAACCTCCAACTATTCAAATGTAATGTCAATCGACGTCTCCAGATGCCCTGATCTATCCCCTATACTTCTCTTTATCCTTTCACTCCTATTTGCTCTCGCTCCAACTCTCTGTAACCCTTCCCGCCTTGCGTGCTAGTAGCTTCCCGCCTTGCTTGGGATGAAATGCTTAAAAAGAAACTTACAAGTAAAACAATATAAATCACACAATTCTAAACCAAATATGAAGCTTATTCACAAATAAATTCTAAAATATTCGAAATGGTATTCAAAAGTGTTCTATTGTAACAGGGGTGTGCACTGTAATGGCTTCATCGTGATTAAGTGTCATTAAACTATTGTGATACGTCCAAAGACGGTATAAAAGAAAAATATATTAAACTTAAGTCACTGTCCTAATTAATTCGCACATTACTGACTACACTGAGGTAGCGGTAAGAGTTATCAAACCTTGGATAGACCTTGTATACGATGGAAGGTTGTATGTGCTTCAGCAGGACTTGCCAAAGCTGTGATGACCTCAAATTTAACGGCAGCCAATCTGAACGACCACATCACACCAAACATGTGGCCACCTAAAACGCCCGACTTAAATCCCCCCTGATTATTACATGTCAAGTGTTGTTAAACTGGAGATTAATCAACGTCTCCACAATACGATAATTATCAGAAAGCCGCCATTACTCGATCGTAAAACAAACCATGTGATGAGTACATGTCAGTGATTACATCATTGCGGCTGCGTGCGGTTACATCGAGGAAACATGTAACACAAACATTACTGCATCTCTGCAACATGTTTTGAATCATGAAATTTAGTTGTTTGTAATATGAGGTTCTGGTTTTTACCGTCTTATATTCGACGATTACTTTAAGATGCGGATTTTACAGATAGGGGAGGAAGATAACGGTTAACTCTAGACTTGAACAGGTTATGATTGTAATGATCCGGGAAGCATCCTCTTGGGAGTTCTGTTCCACATAGCAGAGGTCCAAAGGAAGAAGATATTTGAATAAAACTTACTTTTCACCAAAGGAATACGTAGGGAGTGTCGGTCGTTTGCTAAAATGTGGGTGGAATGGCGGGTGGTAAGCATGGAGTTTAAAGTAGGTGGAACCAAGGAATGTAGTTTGGCCGAGCACTTTTCATGAAAATAGCGATAGAGCAGTGAGAGGCGAGCCATGTCCCGCCTGAGAGAGAGAGAGAGAGAGAGGTTGGAGTGTGGAAAATAATTCCTCGCTTATAAGAACTTACAGTAGTAAGTTATTACTGTGCAGCTTCCACCCAAATATTGCAGCAGTAATCCATTTTCGTCCTGATCTGGCTCTTGCAAATGTAGTGGATAGCATGAGGAGTGAGGTACATAGTGGAGAGGTACAGGGGGGGCGACCATTTTACCTGCATCATTAGCGATCATGATGATGATGATGATGATGAATTGGTGCCTATGTAAACAGTATGGACTTGGAGTCGACGAGAAAACTGATCGAAGCTGATCGAAAATGACCAAGTCAGAAAACAGACGGCAGCGCTCTTGAGGTAACCAAACAAGTCATCATCGCCGTTGACCAAAAAAAAAAGAAGTAAAAAATCTGAAAAATCAAGAAAATCTTTCCTCGTCGACGTGGCTGCTCCATGTTACCATAAAAACCTAATCAAAGAATTTGACAGGCATGAGAATAGAATACGGAATGATAGAATCTGAGTGTCATGGTAGATCCTAGCCGTCAAGGAATGTAGTTTTTTTCCGAGCACTTTTCATGGAATTATTAATAGAGCAGTGAGATGCCGGCCACACCTCTTCAGTGATAGCGTGGTTGGATAATGGAATATAATTCGTCACCCGCAAAGTCTCGGAGAGGCGTTTGAATTCTGTCGAGACTGGAAAGTGAAGATAGGACATCTTACGCCCAAATATGACGACAATATTCCATTTTCGGTTTGACATGTCTCTGGTAAATGTAGATGATATTTTGAGAAGTCGTATACAGGAGCCGACCATTCTCCGTGCATCTTTAGCGTATATACGAGTCTCACCTGAGATCAGGTATGATTTCGAGATCCAAATAGTTTCTTAACCCTAGAACACTAACCATGGGTACCCATAGTACCCAGCGCAAATTTTCCTATTTTTAATTACAATTTTCAGTACCTGATTTTCTTACCTATATAATATGTTTTTCAGTTCTTATTAATGTTAAATCAAATTACAAAATTTGGAGTGCCTGCATGTAAAATATTTCAAATAAAGATTTATATTTATTATTTGTTTTTGATATTTTCAAAATCGGGTATGATATACCCATGGTGAGAAGTTTAATTTATGGTTAGTGTTCTAGGGTTAATTGACGCTGCCTTCTGTTCATCGAGACTGGCAGTAGTTCGAGGTCCGTCCGCGATGATAGAATGCAACTAGTTCGATTTCCAAGGCATTGGATGTAACCAGCCAGCTTCTACCCCGCTAGTTAATTTGTGCAAGATCGGAAGAGAGATTATCTGCTAATCTCTGATCGTCAAGGATTTTAGATGTGCACCGGTATATCGTCATATCGTCGGGATAGATATTTACAAATGAGCTGAGTTATATTCTTAGATCATTTATGTAAATCCAAAAGAGGGTTTGTCCTATAAGTGACCCTTGCGTTAACCAGCTTGGCTTCGGAGAACTGGCCGTTAATAAGTACCTACAGGGATTTACCTGTTGAGGAGACCCTTCCTGTGATTACATACCTGGAGATCTTGTGTAGCAAATCTTTGTGCTATACCTTGCAAAAGGTTTACTAGCTTTAAGACACGGTGTCTTGATTCCACCAACAGAAAGGGTCAAAAGTATGAGACACATATTGTGGATTTCAAACCAGACTAAGTGCATTAATCTAACTGCACTAATAAGAGAGATCTTACACAGAGGATAGGCGAAGATACTAAGCAAAGTATTAAGAAAAAAAGAATATTTCATCAATAATTGGCGTTAAACTAATTTACGATGTAAAGACCTAACAATATCTTCTCGGATGAAGAAGCGACTTCAAACGATAAAGATGGTTTATTAACAATGCTATGGACAGAACATGTGTTCGATGAGGAAGTTTTAAGGACAACAGGAACTAAAAGGAAACCGAATACTTACATTTGTAAAGTGTCAGTTGAAATCTCAAGGATATTATAAAGAAAGTGGATCGGGAGCATCTAACACTCGCACGACATACTGAATGTAACAGGGACATGGATAAAATTAAGTCATTTAACAAGACTGTGAGAGGGGATGTTATAAAAAGTATACAGATCTATGCTAAAAGGCCAAAGGTTACTTTGTGTAACAGAAAATCTGAGGAACTATTATCTCCTTCAACAAATAAAAGAGAAGGGCTACAAATATTTCTTTCTTATTTGGAAACCATAGGTTTTTCTTAAAACAGGTGTATAAAATATTTTAAGCCATTTAATTAAAATATTTGTTCGTCCTAACGAATTAGATACAAATATTCTACATTGATTGTTTAGTGGCATATCAACTCCATATGGACCATTTAATTCTGAAATTTTATTTTCTTCGAAGTTAGTAATTTCTTTTACAACAATGTTATTCTTTTAGAAAATCGTGTTCCTGATAATTTTTACTTTTTAGCAAGAATGTATTGCTGGAAATATTATCTGTTTTTCAAAAATGTACTGCTGGTAATATGTATTTTTTTAATGTATCGATGCTAATTTTTTCTACGAATATTTATTGCTGTTTTATTTTTACTATAAGAATTGTATTTTTTTTGTGTGTGGTTAACTATTTGTTCATAGTTAAAACCCCAACATCTGCTATCATTCCGAATCAGGTGGACGTCGGTCAACAACAATTAAGTGGTGGTTCTATGATATTCAAAGCCTTGCCATCTGAGGCCTTGTTGCCGGATGTATTTTATCGTCATACCCAGTTCGGTATTAGATAATCCCAAAAACTTATAAGCCTATACAATTACTAATAAATTCGAATCCTAAAATATAGCCATTATTTACAAAAAACAATTTACTTATCAATAAAGATTCATAATTTTAAAAAGAAAGGTTTTAATGAGTTATTGATTAAATCAATAGATTTGTTATAAATAAATGACCTCCAGATGTCATGCTTTGGATATTTCGATCGAAAATTCTGTGGATTATAATAAGTGAATGGCCAATATCTGGACGATATTTCCAAATATGTCTGTTAAGAAGCTGGTCAAATGCATATAAGACTGGCTATTAGCCTGGTGGAGACGATATGGCGCCTGGCTAAGTGCCCAAATCTAAAATCGGATTCCCCAAGGAGAGTCAGATACGTTGCTAATCGCTGATCTCGTATCGTAGACGAGACTAGAACGAGACTGATTATACTTTCATCTTTTCTCTCGTACACTATCGAGCAAGCTGTAACGTGGCTCAGCTACCTTATCGGTCACTATATGTGGACCAAGCTCTTCCGGTCAGGTTGCTCAATCGATCGTTGATCGATATTCGGTATTTGTTCCATTTTTATCTTTCTGTTACCTGCCCTATGCAGTGTGCAGCGACCAAAGAAAACCTAAGAAAGAAAGAAAGAAAAAGAAGGAAAGAGACAAAGAAAGAAAAAGAAGGAAAGAAACAAAGAAACAAACAAAGAAACAAAGTAAGAAACAAACAAACAAACAAACAAAGAAGGAAAGAAAGAAAGAAAAAAAGAAAGAAAGAAAGAAAGAAAGAAAGAAAGAAGAGGTATTTATCAAGAATAACTCTAAAACGGAAAAGATGGAAGTAAAGTAACATGAAAGAGGAAAGACGAAAGGATTGTTTGTGAAGAAAGAAAGAAAGAAAGAAAGAAAGAAAGAAAGAAGAGGTATTTATCAAGAATAACTATAAAACGGAAAAGATGGAAGTAAAGTAACATGAAAGAGGAAAGACGAAAGGATTGTTTGTGAAGAAAGAAAGAAAGAAAGAAAAGTAAGCAAGAAAGAATGAAAAGTGAGCAAGATAAGAAGGCAGTGAAATACGAAAAAAGAGAAGACAGAATACTTTTGGAAAGAAAGAATGAAAGAAAAACATTTCATTAGAATGAAAGAAAGACATATATGTATTATAAGCAAAGAAGAAAGAACGAAGCAAAGAAAGAAAAACTGCATGAAATAGAAGAAATGCATGAATTAAAAGAAGGAAGGAAAGAAGAAAAAAAGAAAGAAAGAGATTTATCAAGAATAAATAGGAGAAAAACAAAAAGGATGGCAGTAAAGTAACTTGCCAAAGGAAAGAAATAATATTTGTGAAGAAAGAAAGAAAGAAAGAAAGAAAGAAAGAAAGAAAGAAAGAAAGAAAGAACCAAATAAAGAAAGAAACAAAGAAAGAAATGGAAGCAGGAGGGTGAAATGCCTAGAAAAAGAGGAGAAAGAATGCTTTTGAAAAGAAAGAATAAAAGATAGAAAAATATTTAATTAGAAAAAAAAACATAAATTTAATCAGAAAGAAATTAATTAAAAGAAAGAAAGAAAGAAAGAAAGAAAGAAAGGAAGAAAGAAAAAGAAGCAATAAAAAAGAATATGGTTAAAGCAGAGAAAACAAGGAAAGATAAAAGTTCCTGATATAAACAAAATAAAAGAATCAAGGAATCGTAATGATTGTTGTTGCTTCTGCTTTTTCGATATCTAAAACAAGGACCTGATTGATTTGCTTTTTTACGCCGAGGTAGAAAACAGAAAATTTGTTTTGTTGTTGTTGTTGTTTGCAAATCAATACTTGATTCACTTTTTCTTAACCAACGCAAGGATTTTGTCAGATCCTTTTTTGATATGTTCAGCACAAGCGATTGACTTTTTGTTGACATATTTCACTAAAAACTAACCAATAAATCAACTTTGTGATTTATCTATGACGTCCTTCACTGACAATATGAAAGCTGATATTTTGCAAGAACCAACAACTCTGAATTTCTGAAACAGGGCAGTTCCATTACTAAATAATAATAGACTAAATCATTATTATCCTCGTTTTGTAAATTATTGGACTTTTAATGGTAACATTAGCCGTTTCCTTATAAGGAAACAGCCGGAATTCATTAACCGAGTAGCAAGAACTGTTTTCGGTTGAAATTTATAAAATCTTTCTCTTAAAACAATAGCCCTCCATATCATCTACATGAAATTATTGATCTAACGAAGCTCTTTACGAACAAGATTCGGCTGATGTTTTGTATTCGTGACAATTTGCGGTTTTGGGGTGAAACTACATCTGGGACAGCCAATTCTATGTTCAATTTCATTACATTGTTTTACAGAATGGTGGGAAAACTGCCTGCCAGAAATCTAATGATACGAACTGAGTGTCTGTGGTTTGAAACCCAAGGACGTGGAATCTGACGCTGATGGATCGCCTTTAAGAGTTTACATAAGAACAAAATGGATGATAGACATATTTTCAAGAAGAGTCAAGAGATCTGGCCACATTTCTGAATGAGAAAAGCCAGCACTCTCTCTCTCCCTCTCACTCACTCACTGCTCCTTTCACCCTAAAAATGATGCTACGGCTATGTTTCTTTATAAAATTTTCATATAAGCATAAAGTGTCGCTGCCGACACTGGAGTTTGAACACAGATCACCAGAGACCAAACACAGGCGATCCCATTTTGAATAAGTAGATCACGTAATGGTAAAGAAAATATATATATGGGAATTATCTTGGCGTCTAATGGATCACATTTCTATTCTATCTTCTATTACTATACGGATTGCTATTTCTCTATTAGTCAGTTATGTGCCATGCGAGATACACACGTAGGCGATCATGTATCTTTCTATACATGACTGACGAGGCAGATTTTTTTTCCCATAGTAGACCAGTTGCCATTCACGACTGTAGGACCCGGTCTTTCCTGCTACTTAGAAGAAGAGGATTCATACCTTTCCCAAGGTTATTAGCATGTAAGTGAATGTAATGGATTCGACTGGAATTCGAACTCGGCTCTCCGCCTCCACAATCAGAGCCGCTATCCATACTATTCAGATTATTATTTGTCGGTTACTTGTCGACCGAGTATTCTCGAGCAAGTACTATTACTGCGTGTGATATTCGATGTCGTCTGACACCAGTATTGTTCGACGGCGTTACTCTAGGTATAACTGCGATTACAAAGTCTCTACTACAACGAGTATTACGAAAACGACAACGAGTATCCGTTGTCATCACAAAAGTGGCAACGAGTGTTTGTTGACATCACAAAAAATAAAACAAGCTAAAAATGAATATTTTCCGTCGATTAAGCAATCTACGATGAGGCTTTGGTATTTGAATAACTGAAGTCAGAGACGATCGAAATCATCTTCGACAAAGAACTGTCACCATTCTTTAAAATATTCGGACGAGCATCACTATCTTTTTTATTATAACAATGTCATTTCAGAAAATTACCCCCCCCCCCAATATTCTTCTGGAGCTTGCTACATCAAGCGATAGTAGATTATTTTTATTTCGTGTCATCACCGCAGGAGAGAAATAAAAATAAAAAAAAGCACATGCAAAAAGTTAGATGGCACAAAATAATTGTCTGCTACAATTAACACCTGGACAATGCTGAACAACAAATTAACGAAGTCATACTTGGTAAAATCATCAAAGAACAACATACTAAATTAATCAGTGTCATTATTTTTAGGAAAGTGGAAAAGCAGCTATTAGTTCCCTTAGGTCATGTCAGGAATTATCACGGCTGGTTTTCCAGTAATAGGCATGTAGGTACTACGTAGATGAGACCTTCAAAACTGTAAAGCACTTTATTCAAGAAAATGCTACACTGGCGCAAAGACTATAGATTGACTTGAAAAGCTACTAAGGGAGGACAACAAACCCATACTGCGGATTCGTTGAGCGCGAGGTGATATTACATTTAAATAGCCAGTATAGGTGAGAGACGCTTACAGAAACGATAGATCTCTGGCTCCTTTTAACCAGGTAGCCGAGAGCAGCTCATATATATATATATATATATATATATATATATATATATATATATATATAGGTATATATTTAGGAAGCAATCATTCGTTTATGCATGTTTCATTAAAAACGACACACAATGTACTACGGTTAAGCTTTTTATTTAATTTTACTTGTGTTCGAACAAGAGCTTTCTTTCTGGACAAAGAGTGTAAAAACTATCCAAATATTTAATATTTCCGAGCGCTTTTGGCTATACCGTTAACCATTGTCAAGGATGATTCCATTTTTCAGCTTAATTGAGTATGTGCCAAATGTATATGTTTTAGTGTGTTGAAGGGATGTTTTAATTTTCGAATACGGTTAGCATATTGTGGCCTTGTTCTTAGTTAATATTGTTAAGAGTTGGCTTTTTCTTTTTTTATTATTAAAGCGTCCATTATTTTTAATCTTCCTTTACAGTTGGATCAAGTTATTATATTTGTGTTTTCTATTAGTATGTTTCTAATCGAGTCTGGTAAGTTTGTGTGTGTGTGTTTAAAAGGGTTCTAATGGAGTTATGATCAGATAGATGTAACGTAAGGCGTCTGGATAAGCATGTGGTTGTGTAACCAATGTAATCATTTATGGGTTTAGAAAACATTTGGACAGTTTTTGCATACTCTTTGTCCAGAAAAGAAAGTTCTTGTTCGAACACAAGAAAAATTAAATAAAAAGCTTAAGCGTAGTACCTTCTCTTACATTTTAAATATATATATATATATATGTGTGTGTGTGTGTGTGTGTGTGTGTGTGTGTGTGTGTGTGTGTGTGTGTGTGAAGAAATATAGTTTAAAGGTGTGCGATATTCATGGATAAAGTGCTCAATATCAATATAAAAGTGAATATTGAAGTTAACACTCAAGCTGTTTCATGGTAGGCGCCATCGTCAGGCCTGACTATTGCATCTAGCATGAAACAGCCTGTCGCCTCTGAATGTTGACTTCAATGTTCATTTACACACACACACACACACATATATATATATATATATATATATATATATATATATATATATGTATATATATGTATATATATATATATATCCAGGTACGATGAGAACGAACTGGATACAATACATTTAACTTAAAAAGAGAGCTCAATACAAAGTAGAGCAATATTCTTTATTTTAAGATATTACACCGAAAATATGTTAAAATCGCTACACAATTGCAGTAGCGTTTCGATGCGCATGCAATGCATCTCATCAGCAGATTGTAAAATAATGGCGAGTAAACTATTTAATCAGACTTAAAAGAAAAATACAGCCCCTTTTTACGAAAAAAGAAAAGTGAGTGTGTTATAAGATTTTGTATGCTCATTGAAATACTACTGCAATTGTTATATATATATATATATATATATATATATATATATATATATATATATATATATATATATATATAGAGAGACAGGGAATTAATGCACGTAAAAGTTTTCTCACTTGGCAGATTGGTGTTACCTTAAGCGTACCGACTCAAGAATAAATGGACCCTCTTGGAATTATTCCTTCCACTCGTCAGGCGGTATCAACAATTGACTGCTTAGACGTCTTGATTTATCTATTTTATATGCACTTTATATTAGTACAATATGTATTTTGATAGGGTTGTATGGTTTCTGTATTTTTCTATCCCATATTTATTTTGATAGGGTTGAATATTATGTGCATTGTTTTATTCGCATATGTATTACAACAGGGTTGTACTGTTTGCATATTTTTCACAATTGTATTTTGATAGTTTTGTATTGTTTGTTAATTTTCTATCCCATATGTATTTTTGATAAGATTTTTTCCCATATGTATTTTGATAGGGTTGTATTGTTTGCCTATGTTTCTTTCCAATTTGTATTTTGGTAACGTTGTATTGTTTGCGCATTTTTCTATCCCATATGTTTTGTTGATACGTTTTCTTTCCAATATGTATGTTGATTGAGTTGTATGCTTTCCCATATGTAGTTTGAAAGTCTTTCTATTGTTTGTGTATTTTTCTTACTCGTATGTATTTTCATTGGGTTTTATTGTATTGTTTGTGTATTTTTCTCTAACAGAATAATATTTTGGTAAGTCTGTGTTGTTTGTGTATTTTCTTTTTTATGTTTATATATATATATATATATATATATATATATATATAAACTTGAAGAGCTAGGTAAACCTACCTAGGTTTCACCACACGGATCGTCAGACTCAACTGGCCAACGAGGTAAGGGTTTGCTCTACTTAGCGTAATGAGCACTTTACGTAGTTATTTTTGCTTTACCCGTTTTGGAGGGTTTTTTTTTTTGGACTCTGAGCTTGGATTCTGGACAATTGTTTTCGCCTCAATTTCATGGTCTTAGTTCTTTCTTTTTTCCCCTTATTTCCCTTTAGGCATTGGTTTGTTCATTATCAAGCGAAAATACCTAAGGTTTTTCTGACCGCGTATAACTATTTATATTATACACACACACACAGACACATCCCCTCTCCAGGACCAATAAAACTCTCAAAATGACCACGGGAATTCAGAGCAACATAGATCCATCCAGCTCTTATCTCAAATAACAACTTAAAAGAGACTGTTTGACCAACACAAGGATTGTTAAAAGATTCATCTTAAAAAAAAAAATTAAAAAAAAAAAATGAAAACTACAGACAAAAGTTCATTTTCTCCAGCAAGACATTCATTTCTGTAGTTTACTGCTACCAGCAAGCAGAAATATTTCTTCTCTTGATGATGCCCATTTTGCTCGAAACTAGTCGAGGAATCTAAATGAAATAATAAAAAAAAACGAAAGAATATTTATCTACAACCCAGTGTGTCTAAAGATTGTAATTTTCTATTGTTCAAAATATATAGTTAAGTAATGAAAAGTTTGGTAATCTGTATAGATAACCCCAAGAAGGATATAATCCAGAGAGCTCAATGTCAAAACAGATCACCTATTAATTTAATTTAATTAGAAAACAGACAACCTTTAGGGTCTATTGATTATATTTCATTTCCCCAGATAGGTGGTTTTTTCCTGGTCCATCAGATCACATCACAAAAAATGTTTTTAAATTTACGTATATTTTTACACGCTTTTGAGGGGTAGATTTAAGTTGATTTAAGGTGATAGAGAGATGGGGAGGAGGGGTATGAAAGATATGGTCGAAATTGGAGAAGGAAGGGAAAGATAGAAATCATTCTAAATTTATTTTTATTAAGATACTTAAAAGTAAGGGAGTAGGTAAGGACCAGACATTAAGCTATTTAATATTTCCTCTCACAGGAAATGAGACAAAGCGAAAAAAAAGAGAAAAGTCAAGATAGAAGGAAGCAAATGTGAAAGCATGGGTGTGAGGAAAAAAGTGGGGAAAGAAGAAAAGGAAGAATAATTTAACATATATGGGCACATTGCGGTTAATTTGAATAAAAACAGATTGATATATTTGGCATTTAACGTTTGACATTAATTTAAACATTTACAAAAACTAGGATATATATA